GTGATTAATAATCGAGATATTTGAACACGCGAGGAACGAGTTTTTATGTTTTTTCTTTTTCTCAATTTGAAATTTTTCAGTTTTTGGATTTTTCAACTTTTTTTGTTTTCAATTTTTCGTTTCTTCAATTTTTGATTTGCAGGTTTTCTAATTTTCATTTTAGATATGTAATAATAATTATAATTTTTATTAGAGTTGTTCACTTTTTCAATTTTTCGTTTTTGGATTTTTTTAATTTTTCGATCTTTGAATGTTAGTTTTTGGACTTTACGAACATTTTTCGATTTAATTCGTTCTTTGATTCATTAATTTTTTCTCGATTTCTAGTTTTTCAATGTTTCTACTTTTCGTTTCTTCAGTTCTACAATTTTGTTAAATAAATGTTGCATAAATTAAAAAAAAAAGTAACACTGTACCTATGGTCTATGAATCCGTGTTGAATTTTTATCTTCGACATCGAAATTTTTGTGGAAAAATAAAACAAAATTGAATTACAATTTTTCGATTTCTTGATTTCTCGATTTTTAGTTTACTTAATTTTTCGATATTTCAGTTTTACAATTTTTGCAATTTAAAAAAAAATCATTTTTACATTTCTCAATTTCTCTATTAATCAATTCTTTGATTTTTCGATTTTTCCTCTTTCCAATTTATCGATTTTTCAGTTTTTCGAATTCTCAAGTTTTCGTTGTTCCAATTTTGGAATTTTTCATTATCTCCAATTTTTTAATTTAAAATTTTTCACTTTTTTGATATATCGATTTCTCGATCTTTCGATTTTTAAAATTTCTGAGTTTTCGAATTTTGAATATTTTGATTTATCGTTTTTTTTAAGTTTAAATATGTATTTCAGTTTTAAATTTTCCGGTTTTTCGATTTCGGGCTATTTCGATTTCTCCATTTCTCGGATCTTTTGATGTCTCAATTTTTTAATTTCGATTTCTCGACTTTTCCATTTTTCAATTTTTTATTTCTTCAAGTTTTTAGATTTTTAAAATTCTCCATTTTTCGATTTTATGTTTTGTTATGCTTCGATCTCCCGATTTTAACCTTTTTAAGGTGTATTCCAATTTTTCGATTTTGGAATTTTCGATTTTTTACATCTCGATTTTTCGTTTTTTCGATTTTAAAATGTTTTTACTTTTCGTTCTTTTTTTCGATTCTGGATTTTTCAAGTTTTCGATTTCTCAATTTTTCAACGTTTCAATTTTGAGAATGTCTATATTTTTCAGTTTTTTGATATTTTCATTTTTCAACTTTTTAAATTTTGATTTTTCGACTTATCGGAAATCGATTTTTGGGTTTTTCAATTTTTCGACTTTTCGGTTTTGAGATTTTTCAATTTGTCGATTTTTTGGTTTTTCATTTCTTCAGTTTTTCGGTTTTTCAAGTTTTCGAATTTTTAAATTTAAAATTTTTCAATTTTTCGATTTTATTTTTTTTACGTTCCGAATACCCGATTTAATTTTTTTTTATGCTTTTCAATTTTTGGTTTTTCTAAATTTTCATTTTTTCATTTCTCAATTTCTCGATTTTTCGACTTTTTGATTTTGTGTTTTTTTTAAATGTTAAATTTTTCGTTATAGCAATTTTTCTATTTTTTAAATTTTAGATATTTAGATTTTTCGACATCTTGAATTCTCGATCTTTTTTCAGTTTGAATTCCTCGGTTTTTCGATTTTCCAAAATTTCGATTTTTCAATCTTTCGATTTTTCAATCTTTCGATTTTTGAAAATTTTCGATTTCTCGATTTTTCAGTTTTTGATTTTCCAACTTTTAGATGTTTCAAATTTTAGAGTTTGCAAATTTCACCAGTTTACAGTTTTTAATTTCGTCAATTTTTCGATTTGAAATTTTTCCTGTGGGTTTTTAATTTTCTTTATTTTTTCAATTTTCTGCTTTCAATTTTCCGTTTTTTTAATTTTTCATTTGCAGTTTTTCTAGTTTTCATTTTAATTATGTAACACTCCTAATAATTATAACTTTTAAAGTTTTTCACTTTTTCAGTTTTTCGTTTTTGGAATTTTCAATTTTTCGGTGTTTGAATGTTACAGTTTTTAAACTTGACAATTTTCATGATTCTATAATTTTTCGATTTTACAATTTTTGGATTTTCCAATTTTTCAATTCGAATGGTTTTTCTTCTTTCCCATTCTTCGATTCATTAATTTTTTTTTTAGATTTTTGAGTTATTCGGTTTTTAGTTTTTCATTGTTTCAATTTTTCATTTTTTCGAGTTTTTAACTTTTCGAATAAACAAAATCGAACAATTATAAAATAGAAAAATTGTAAAACTGAAAAAGAACAAAATGAAAGCTTCGAAATATAAAAAAATTGGAAATCAAGAACTTAAAAAATCAAAGATTGAAAATGTAAAAAATTGAATAAACAAAAAATTGTAAAATCCAAAGAATCATTGAAAAAATAAAGATAATGGAAAAATGAAAAATTGTGATATAAAATCAAGAAAATGAAAATTACAAAATCGGGAAAATGAAAATATCGAAAATCTGAAAAACATAGAAATTGAAAAATTCCCAAAATTGCGATGTTTAAAATTGAGATAGCGAAAACTTAAAAATCGAGAAATCGAAAAATTTTTAAAATTGGAAAACTGAGATATGAGAAATCGAAAATTCCAAAAATGGAAAAATTGAAACACATTAAAAAATTAAAATCGGGAAATCGAAACATAAAGATTATAAAAGGGAAGAATGAAAAATTTTAAAAATCGAAAATTTAAAATATATACTAGAAAAATCGAAAATTTTGAAAATCGAAAAACCAAGAAATCGAAATCGAAAACTTGAGACTTCAAAAGATCGAGAAATCGAAATGGCCGAAATCGGAAAATTCAAAATTGAAATATTTACTTAAAAAAAAGATAAACGGAAAAATCGAAAAACTCAAAAAATCGATAAACCTAGATATGAGAAACAGAAAATTCCAAAAATCGAAAAATTGAAATACAGATTAAAACATTTAAAAAATCGTAAAAACAAATTACATTCGATTTTCCGTTTTATCGATTTTGCAATTTTTTGTTTCTTCAATTTTTTCCAATTTTTTAATTTTCCGATTTTTCAATTTTTCGAATTTTCTACTTTCCGAATAAACAAAATGGAAAAGTTATAAAATAGAAAAATTGTAAAATTGAAAACTCAAAATGAAAAAACGCAAAAGTATAAAATGAAGGCTTCGAGAAATCTAAAAACTTGAGAAATTGAAGAAACGGAAAATTCAAAAATCGAAAGATTAAAAATTGAGAAACTTAAAGATCGAAAAATTGCGGTCGAAAACACGAAAATTATTGTAAAATCTAAATATTGAAAATTGGAAAATCGAGGAATTGAAAATGTGAAAAATTGAATAAACGAAAAATTATGATATCAAATCCAGAAAATGAAAATTAAAAAATCGGGAAAATGGTATAAAAAAAATGAAGAACTTGAAACAACATCATTACGCCGAATATGTTCATTGCGCACATTACACATAACCTCAATTTAGTCCTTAATGATTCTGTTAAGAATGTACCAGGAATTTCCGCATTTTATGATTTAATAAATGCTATATACGTCTATTTCAGTGAGAGTTTACCGAGATGGCAACAACAACAACAACATTGAGATGAAAGAAAATGATAAGTGTGTTATAAAAAAAACTTTGAAAAAGTTATGCCCCAACAGATGGTCATCGAGATTTGATTCTCTAATTGCCATTAGATATAATGTCTCAACAGTTATGAGCTGAAATTATTTTAACATCAAAAAAGAAAAGTGAAATAGATGAAGCTGTAGCTCTTCGTAAAAAAATTGATTCATTTGAATTTGTTGCTCTATTAGTATTTCAATGCAAAATTTTAGAAAATGTTAATTTGCTCTCAAAAACTTTACAAAGTTCAAATATTACTTTAGATGAGGCTTGTAAACGGATGGAACATCTAAAAGACAAATTTCAAAGTATACGTGACAATTTTGAACAAATAATGGAGGAATCAAGGAAATGTGTTGATACCTGGAAAATTAGCAATTCTTTTTCAAATAAACGTATAAAAAAAGTAAAACTGTTTCATGACGAATTATGTGAAGATACCGTTTTCAAAGATCCCACTGAAAAATTTAAAACAACCGTTTTCTATCCTGCTCTTGATATTTTAAATATTCAAATTAAAGATAGGTTTGAAAGCATGAAAAACGTCAGAAACTATTTTTCTTTTCTGGAATCACAGGAAATGTTGAATAGTACAGACGAAGAATTTGTGGAGGCAGCATCAAAGTTGGCAAATAAATACGAAGAAGATATTTCTAGTGCAATCTGTGGGCAAATCGTTAGTTTTAAAAACATTGCTGTTGGTGAAATTATTCAGCAAAAAATAACTAAAATTACAGATATTGCTTAGTTTCTGTTTATGGACAATAATTTTTTAACGGCAGAAAGATCTTTTTCTAAATTAAAATTAATTAAATCATCATTTTTAAAAATTATTATGTGTATACATTATTATTATTTGTAAGTCTGTGTTATTCGGCGCCACTACTGGTAAACCAGTAATTTCATATTAATTTTATATTACTTTTTAAATTTGGTGTATGGGGGCGCTTACTATAAACTGTGGGGGAGGGGGGCGCAGTGGAAGTTAGCTACGCCACTGTCACTAACGCAACTAAGCATTAACCAACACCCTCATTCATCCCCATAACACGACCCGACAGAGAAAAATGCCACGAAACAAGCTTCAAAATCAATTTCTTAAACGACCCGTCTCATAAACACACGAGCGAAAGAATGACAAGATTGAGTTACTCAAACAACGTCATTACAAACCGAACGATATAAATACGACGGAATCGACAAATTTTGATACTTATTGCGGGAAACCTGAGAACGCCGCCTCCGCGCACAAAAAGGACTTTTATGATAATTCGTTCCTTTGTGAATTTGGCATTTCAACACTCGGTGGCATGTTCTCGTCCGATCGTTTAATCGTGTGGTTTACCTTCTTCATCACTTCTGCCGCTGATAGTCCGGGGTAGGGGGTGCTTCCCAAGGTGACGATCTCCCACATAAGTACACCGAAGCTCCACACGTCCGATTTGACGGAGAAGATGTTATCATAAAGCGATTCTGGCGCCATCCAGCGAATGGGGAGTCGGCCTTCGCTCTTCCTTTCATAAACATGAGAGACTATAACGTCTCGGGCGAAGCCGAAGTCGGCCACTTTACACGTGTGCTCTTCTGTGATCAGAATATTGCGAGCTGCCAAATCTCGGTGGATGATCTGTGGATGAAATTACAATATTGGTTATATATTCAGAACAACGCTTGCATATTGTGCGACAGATTTTAATCTAACTTGATTTAAAGAAATGGTTTTATTGTTTCGGGGGATGTTGGATGTGGAATATCGGTAAACAGATATGTCGCATAGACGTGACAGGTACATACTCACAAAAAAGTCGTCTAAAAATTGCCACTTTGAATTTTTTAAATCTAGTTCGATTTTGACACAGTAAAATTCAGTCATCACCTAATCAAAAAAAAAATTATTCCTAAAATACTTGCAAAATTTGACAACAATAAGTCCAGTAGTTTCCGATGTCATCAAAATCTCAACCATGTGTTAAAAATCATCAAAATATATCGACATTTTTGGAATAAGTATTTTAAAAGTTTGATTTTGAAATCAAGAGTTTCGAAAATCTTGACCTGGGACTGTAAGGAGGTTATGCTTTTTAAAACAGTTCGTCGATATCTATATCCAAGAATTTTATGTGGATTTTTCGGCAACTATGCCAAATGTTCAATTTTTTAAGAACTTTTTGACCTTTTTCCGAACACTTTCGAAAATTGACCTAGATATTTTTTGTTGGCTGCGATTTGAAGAACTTATTTTTCGCCCACTTTCTCGAAAATTTTAACAATTTGGCCAAAATCATCACAATGAAATGGGAACATTTTTGGTACATTTTAACAATTTCATTTTGAAAAAAAAATTTCGAAAATTTTGACTCGAAATTATAAACAGGCTATGTTTTTTGAAACAGTTCGTCGATATCTACATCCAAAATTTTTATAAATACATTTGTCCAAACGTCAAAATAAAATCCAATTTCTATCTAATCAAATAAGCCAATGAAATTCAAAAACGGAGATGGGTGGGGTTAGTTTTAGCTTTTTGTCTAGATTCCACTGTTGCTCAATATAAAATACATTTTTCATCCAATAAAATGAGGTACCAAAAAGAAAATCGGGTGAGTGGGCGGGGCCACTTTGATTTTGTTAAACCTAGTTCGTCACGTGACGCAGTAAAATTCAGTCTTCTTCTAATCAAAAAAAGCCAGTGAAATTCGTAAGCAGTAGTGGATGGGGTTAGTTTTACTTTTTCGTCTAGATTCCAATCTTTATCAATATCAAACCCCCTCTTTGTCCAATAAAATGAGTGATTTGCAGAAAAACCGGGTGGGGGCGGAGCCACTTTAAATTTCTATAAGTATGTGTAACCTTTTCGGGGCCTTCAGCTGTCCTTGTTTAAGAAGATGAAACCTCGGGAGTCCAAACTGACTTTTTTTTAAACAAAGTTGAAACTTTCTCAGGGGTCCCAACTGTTTTTTTTTTTTTAAGACAGTGAAACCTTCTCACGGGTTCCAACAGTCTTGTTTAAGAAAGTGAAATCTTCTCGGGGACCCCACCTACATTTTTTTCTTCCTGAGGTGTTCAACTGGTTTTCTAAGAGTGTGAAATAACCTTCTCAAGCGCTCCAACTGTATTTTTTAAGAAGGTGAAATTTAGGAGTTCCCAACTACCTTTTTTAAACAAGGTTGAAACGCTCTCAGGGGTTCCAACTGGTTTTATTAATGGTGAAACTTACTCCGTTTCTCAACTTTTTTTTTAAGAAGGTGAAACCTCAGGGGTTCCAAGGGTTATTTTTAAGAATGTGAAACCTTCTCAGAGGACCCAAGTGCATGCTTTTAAAGTAAAACCTTCTTGGGGTTTTCAACTGGTTTTTAAGAATGTGAAATAACCTTCTCAGGCGCTCCAACTGCCTCTTTTTAAAGGTGAAACTTTCTCGGGTCCCAAACTGTTTTTTTAAGAAGGTGAAACTTCAGGGGTTCCAAGGGTAATTTTTAAGAATGTGAAACTTTCTCGGAGGCCTCAACGACCATTTCTTAAAGAATGTGAAACCTCTGGGGACCCAAGTATCTTTTGCGAGAATGTGAAAGCTTCTTAAAACCCCAATTGTCTTTTTTTTAAGAATGTGAAACCTTCTCTGGGGTCCCAATTGTCTTTTTTAAGAATCTAAAACCTTCTCAAAGGTCCCAACTGCATATTTTTAAAGTGAAACCTTCTTGGGCTCTTCAACTGGTTGTTTAAGAATGTGGGGGGGGGGGCAATTGTCTTTTTCAAAAATATAAAACCTTCTCATTGGTCCCAACTCCCGTTTTTAAAGTGAAACCCTCTTGAGGTTCGCAACTGGTTTTTTAATAATGTGAAACCTTCTCAGGGGTTCCAACTTTATTTTTTTAAGAAGGTGAAACCTCGAGGGTCCCAACTGGCTTTTTTTAAACAAAGTGGAAACTTTCTCAGAGGTTTCAACTGTATTTTTTTAAGGTGAAACCTTCTCGGAAGCCCTAACTGCCTTTCTTTAACAATGTGAAACCTTCTCTGGGGTCCCAACTGTCTTTTTAAGAATACGAAATCTCCTCTGGGGTCCCAGATGCCTTTTTTTAAACAAAGTTGGAACCTTCCCAGAGGTCCCAACTACCTTTTTTTAAAAGTGAAACTTTCTTCTCGGGGGTCCTAATTGTCTTTTTTAGAAGCAAGTGAAACCTTCTCGGAAATCTCAATTTTTTTTTAAGAAGTTGAAATCTCGGGGCCTTGAAGTTCTTTTTTTAATAATGGATCCTTCCCGGGGCCCCAAACTGTTTTTTTTTTCAAGAAAGTGAAACGTTCTCAGAGGTTCCCAGAGGTTTTTAAGAATGAGAAGCCTTCTCGCAGGCCCCATCTGTCTTTTTTTTAAGAAGGTGAAACTTTCTCAGATGTCCCAACTGCCTTTTTTTAAAGAACGTGAAACTTTCTCAAGGGTCCCAAGTGTCATTTTTAAGAGTGTGTCCTAACTGTCTTCTTTAAGTATGTAAAATCTTCTCCAGGCTTCCAACTGTTTTTTTTTTTAATGTGAAACCCTCTCTGGGACCCCAGCTGTCCTCCTTTAAGAAAAATGAAACCCTTTCGGGAGTCCAAACTGCCTTTTTTTTAAGAATGTGAAACCTCAGAGCCCCGAGAGCCTTTTTCAAGAATGTGAATCCTCCAGGGTCCCAACTGTTTTTTAAAGGAGAAACCTTCTCTGGGTTCCCAACAGTCTGTTTTCAGAATGTGAAACATGTCCCCAACAGCATTTTTTTAGTAAAACCTTCTTGGGGTCTTCAACTGGTTTTTTTAGGAATGTGAAAATACCTTCTCAGGGGCCCCAACTGCATTTTATTAAAAAGGTGAAACCTCATTGGGGGTCCCAACTGTTTTTTTTTAAAGAAATGAAGCCTCTGGGACCCCAAGTGTCTTTTCCAAAATGTAAAACCTTCTCAAGGGTCCCAACTGCCGTTTTTTAAAGTGAAACCTTCTTTGCGTCCGCAACTGGTTTTTTAAGAATGTGAGAACTTCTCAAAGGCTTCAAGTCTTTTTTTTAAGAAGGTGAAACCTCGAGGATTCCAACCGTTTTTTTTTCAATGTGAAACTTTCTCGGAAGTCCCAACTGCCTTTTTTTAAAGAATGTGAAACCTTGAGGACCCCAAGTGTCTTTTTCAAAAATGTAAAACCTTCTCAAGGGTCCCAACTACCTTTTTTTTAAGTGAAACCTTCTTGGGGTCTTCAATTGGTTTTTTAAGAATGTGAAACTTTCTTGGGGGTCCCAACTGTCTTTATTTAAAGGTGAAACTTTCTCAGGTCCCCAATTTTTTTTTTTTAAGAAGGTGAAACCTCAGGATTTCCAAGGGTCATTTTTAAGAATGTGAAATCTTTACGGGGGCCTCAAGTGCTATTTTTTAAAGAATGTGAAACCGGGGGACCCAAGTGTTTTTTTAAGACGGTGAAACCTTCTCTGAGGTCCCAACTGTCTTTTTTAAGAATATAAAACCTCCGGAGTCCCACCTGCTATTTTTAAAGGAGAAACCTTCTCTGGGGTCCCAACAATCTGTTTTAAGAATGTGAGACCTTCTCGGGGATCTCAACTGCCTTTTTTTTTTAAGAAGGTGAAACCTTCTCGGGGGTCCCAGTTGTTTTTTTAAGAATGTAAAACATTCTCAGTGGTCCCAACTGCATTTTTTTTAGTAAAATCTTCTTGGGGTCTTCAACTGTTTTTTTTAGGAATATGAAAATACCTTCTTAGAGATCCCAACTGAATTTTTTTTAGTAAAACCTCTTGTGATCTTCAACTGGTTTTTTTTAGGAATATGAAAATACCTTCTCAGGGGCCCCAACTGCATTTTAATAAGAAGGTGAAACCTTCTTGGGGGTCCCAACTGTCGTTTTTTAAAGAAAATGAAGCCTCGGGGGTCTCTTTCGAAAATGTAAAACCTTCTCAGGGGTCTCAACTGCCTTTTTTAAAAGTGAAACCTTCTTGGGATCCGCAACTGGTTTTTTTAAGAATTTGAAAACATCTCAGGAGCTCCCAAGTCTCTTTTTTTAATAAGATGAAACCTTCGGGGTTCCAACTGCCTTTTCCTAAACAAGATTCAAACCTTCTCTAGGGTTTCAACTGCCTTTTTTTAAAGATAAAACTTTCTCGAGTCCCCAACTGTTTTTTTTTAAGAAGGTGAAACCTTCTCAGGTGTTCCAAGTGTCATTTTTAGGAATGTGAAACCTTCTCGGAGTCCCTAACTGCTTTTTTTAAAGAAGGTGAAATCTTCTCGGGTGTCCCAACTGTCTTTTTGAAGAATATGAAACCTTATTCAGGGTCCCAACCGTTTTTTTTTAATGTGAAACCTTCTTCGGGAGTCCCAACTGCTTTTGTTTGAGAATGTGAAGCCTCTTGGGGGTCGTAGTTGTCTTTTTTAAGACTGGAAAACCGTTTCAGGGGTCTCAACTGCCTTTTTTTAAGTGAAAGCTTCTTGGGGTCTTCAACTGTTTTTTTTTAAGGATGTGAACTTTCTTGGGGGTCCCAACTGCCTTTTTTAAAACGAAGATGGAACCTTCTCAGAAGTCCCAACTGCCTTCTTTTAAAGGTGAAACTTTCTCGGGACCCCAAGTGTTTTCTTTTTCTTCTATGAAGAAGGAAGAATGTGAAATCTTCTCGAGGGTCTCAATGGTCTTTTTTAAACACAAGTGAAACCTTTTCAGCGGTCCCAATCGTCTTTTTTCAAGAATGTAAAACTTTTTCAGGGGTCCTAACTGTTTTTTTTTTAAGATGAAACCTTATCGAGATTTTTTTATATAGTTTCGGGGGCTGTAGCTATATTTTTTTTTTGTACATATTGGAAAGTTTAATTTTTGAAAAATTGTCTAAGAATTGTCAAAAAATCCAGGGTTAAATCTTGACGTGGTGATTCCAAAAATATATACTTACATAATTGACTAGAATTAAATTTTGTTAGCTCTAAATTTCGCCATCCATATACCTAAGTGGTACATTTAAATGGTGTTATTTTTAGGTTTTTAATATGCCTATTCACATCGCCTGGATCATGTTATTAAAATGTACTGGCAATTATGTTTAAGATGTAATATATATGTAACATGTATGTGAATTTATTATCTCTAGTCTGAAACAATGTCACAGTCAGTACATTACCGGGTAGAGGGAACGCAGATGCGGACAAGTTCGTAAGCATTTTGAAATAACACACCAATCATGACTCAGTTTTCAGACATTTAAACAACTTGCCTGAAATTCTGAACGAGGACTACTGCTAAGAGGCTTACGATGTTTCCGAAGTTTATTCAAGCACGTTTTTAAACTTCATCCCGATCACCCCTTGGCAGCTAATTAACGAGTCCACGTCTCACTTTCGAGGACGCGACTTCCGCATAATGCAGCCCCCAGGAAAATGCATCTTTTATTAGCTGCATTTTCCCGCACAATACTCTGAATAAATCCAGGCCGCTTTCGCAACTTAATAATAATGTATGAAAGGTTTATTTATACTAACCCCATTAGCGGACAGAAATTCCATTCCCTTGGCGACCTGGTACACAAAAGACGTAAGATCTCTCGACGTGAGGGATTTGCTTTGGCCGTGCATGTTATTGTAGTACCTTTCTGCCCTCGAGTTTCGTAAATAGCTCTGCAATTTGCCCTTGCTTATGTACTCCATTATCAAAAATATGGGCTCTTTGTCTGTGCAGCAGCCCAGAAGCCGGACGACGTTGGGATGGGGTTCGAGCATTTTCATCACTTGCAGCTCCGACAGCAAATCTGATTTCTCTTTCTCGTTCGCGTTTTCCTTGAGGGTCTTCACCGCCACGACGGAAATTCCTTCTTTGCCTGGAATAAGAGGATCGGGGATAAGTTGTCTGCGTGATTCGGGTTTACGCGAACTTTGAATGCGGAAAACGTGGGTTTTGAGCATGTTTACTGAGAGACGAGGGATTTTTTTTTTAATTAGAGATAAAAAGGGAAGCTGAACTTGTTTTAACAATGCTTCTAGATACAGGAAATAAACTGAAAAACTTGATAGATAGATATATTAAGAAATTCTGAAATTTCCTATTAAAAAAAAATGGCCAAAGGTTATTTCGACAGAACTTTTTTCGCCCATAAATCGCAGTCCAACAAATCCCACTTCTTTCAAAAGTTATAAAAATTTGTTGCTATTCTTGTGTTCTTATCACCCCTATAAAGTCAAAAACCATTAGCATAAATAACACCCCCGTTTTTTTAATTTGAATTTTTCAATTCTTCAATTTTTCATCTTTTTTTGTTTCTTCAGTTTTTGGATTTGCAATTTTTTTATTCAAGTTTAAATTTTTTAGTTTATCAATTTTCCAACTTTCATCACCTTAACTCATCTATAACTGAATCTATACGGCTGTATAATGTAGTTATCAAAAAATAAGTTCGAATTATAGAACTTATTTTTTGATAACTTTTGCTCCACAATGGGCTCTTGGCCTAAAGGGATAAAGAACTGTTTATTATTATTATTTTAACTTTCAGTTTTTCAATTTTTCGTTTCGATTTTTATTTTCTTTACTTTTTTTGTTTTTTCAGTTTTAATTTTCCCAGTTTTCAGTTTCTTCAATTTTTCATTTTTTTGTTTCTTCAAAATTTCGACTTACAATTTTGAATTTTGGTTTTTTATTTTCTTTATTTTTACAATTTTTCGATTTTTCTATGTTCCGATTTAATTTTTTTTTTTCAACTTCAATTTATTCCATTTTTCGTTTCTTCTTGTAATTTTTCAATTTTCTTTTGTTTCTTCACTTCACAATTTTTCAGTTTTTCGATTTTCCAACATTTGGATGTTTCAGTTTTTAGATTTTGCAATTTTTCGCTTTGCAGTTTCACGTATTTTCAATTTTCAGTTTTTCAAATTTTCGATTTTTCATTTCGTCAATATTTCGATTTGCAAATTATCGTTTCGTTTCTTATTTTCGTTATTTTTCCAATTTTTCGGTTTCTCAATCTTTTCAGTTTTTGAATTTACGAATTTTTCGATTAACAATGTTTCTGTTTTCAATTTTTCGATATTAATATTATAATTTTTGAAAAATTTAAATTTTTTGATTTTTAATTTTTAAATTTTAGATTCTTCAATTTTTCATCTCTTCAAAATTTTTCGTTCTTCTAATTTCAGATTTCCTAGTTTCTTGAGTTTTTGAATTTTTCTTTTCTTCAGTTTTTGACTTGCAATTTTTCTATTTTTCAATTCAAATATATAAAGATAATAATTATATTTAAGTATAATTTTTTTTCAATGTTGATTTTTAATTTTTCGATTATTCAATTTTTCATTTCGGTTTTTTATTTTTTTATTGTTACTGTTTTTCAATTTTTGGATTTTTCGAACCTTGGCTTTTTCAGTTCTTAAATTTCTCGATTAAAAATTTTTCTGTTTTCAATTTTAGATTTTTTAATTTCTCATTTTTGAATTTTAGATTTTTCAGTTTCTTAACTTTTCAACTTACAATTTTATTATTTTTCTTTTTAAATATGTAATAATAGTTAACTGTGATTTTAAAGTTTTCAATTTTTTGAGGTTCAATTTTTAATTTTTCAATTCTTCTACATTTCATTTCTTCAAATTTTTAGTTAGCAATTTCTAGTTTCGGTTCTTTATTTTCTTTAATTTCACAATTTTTCAATGTTTCAATGTTCTAATTTTCTAATTTTTCTTTTTTTCAATGTGAAATTTTTCAATTTTTGGATTTTTCAATCTATGACTTTTTCAGTTTTTGGATTTTTCAATTTTTCGATTAACAATTTTTCGATTTTTCAATCTGAGATTTTTTAATTTTTCCGTTTTTCAATTTTAGATTTTAAATTTCTTGATTTTTTTAATTTTTCGTTTCTACAGTTTTTGAATTGCAACTTTTCTATTTTCATTTTAAATATATAAACATAATTATAATTTTAAAAAATATTTTAATTTTTAATTTTTCAATTCTTCAACTTTTCATTTCTTCAGTTTCTCGTTGTTTCAATGTTCTCATTTTATAGTTTTTCTACTTTCAAAGTGAAATTTTGAAAATTTTTGGATTTTTCAACCTTTGGCTTTTTCAGTTTTTGAATTTTCCAATTTTTCGTGTTTTCAATTTTAGATTTTTCAGTTTCTTGATTTTTTAATTTTTCGTTCCTTCAGTTTTGACTTGCAATTTTACTATTTTTCATTTTAAAAAGTTAGAATGTCTAATTTTAAAAATTTTTCAAAATTTTTTATTTTCAATCTTTAATTTTTCGATTGTTCAATATTTAATTTCTTCAAATTTTCAATTTGTAATTTCTAGTTTCAGTTTTTCGATTTTCCAATTTTTCGATTAGCAATTTTTGCGTTTTCAATTTATAAATATAATTTTTTAAAATTTTCAATTTTTAATTTCTATTTTTTCATTTTTCGATTCTTCAAACAAATTTTCGATTTGGAATGTCTCGTTTCGGTTTTTTATTTTTTTAATTTTTCTTTGTTCAATGTGAAATTTTTCTACATTTGGATATTTCAATCTTTGGGTTTTTCACTCTTTCGTTTTTCCAATTTTTCCATTTACAATTGTTCGCTTTTCCAATTTTTTATTTCGTCAAAATTTCGATTTACAAATTATCGTTTCGGTTTCTTATTTTCTTTGTTTTTCCAATTTTTCGGTTTTTCAATCTTTGGCTTTTTCAGTTTTTGAATTTACGAATTTTTCGATTAACAATGTTTCCATTTTCAATTTTTCGATTTTTCAATTTGAGATTTTTTAATTTTTCGTTTTTTCAATTTTAAATTTTTAAGTTCCTTCAGTTTTTGACTTGCAATATTTCATTTTTTTTTATTTTAAATATACATATTAGGATTACACACATAAGGATTACAATTAAAAAAAAATCAATTTTTTGAGTTTTAATTTTTAAATTTACGATTCTTCAATATTTCAGGTCTTCAAAATTTTTCGTTCTCTTAATTTTTGATTTCCTAGTTTCTTGATTTTTCAATTTTTTGAGTTTCAATTTTTAATTTTTTAATTTTTCAATTCTTCAACATTTCATTTCTTCAAATTTTCAGCTACCACTTTCTAGTTTCGGTTCTTTATTTTCTTTATTTTTTTTTTATTTTCACAATTTTTCAATATTTCAACATTTTATTTTTTTTCTTTTTTTCAATGTAAAATTTTTCAATTTTTCAATTAACAATTTTTCGATTTTGCAATCTGAAATTTTTTAATTTTTCGTTTCTTCAGTTTTTGAATTAGAATTTTTCTATTTCCATTTTAAATATATAAAAATAATTATAATTTTAAAAAATATTTTAATTTTTTGAGTTTTAATTTTTAATTTTTCAATTCTTCAATTTTTCATTCCTTCAAATTTTCGTTTCGGTTTTTTATTTTCTTTATTTTTATAATTTTTCAATTTTTCAATAATCTCATTTTTTAATTTTTCTTTTTTCAATGTGAAATTTTTCAAATTTTTTAATTTTTCAATCTTCGGCATTTTCAGTTTTTGGATTTTCCAATTTTTCGTTTTTTCAATTATAAATTTTTCAGTTTCTTGAGTTTTTAATTTTTTGTTTCTTCAGTTTTTGACTTGCAATTTTACTATTTTTCATTTTAAACATTAAAGAATAATTATATTTAATATTAAAAAAAAATCAATTTTTTGATTTTCAGTTTTTAATTTTTCGATTGTTCAATATTTAATTTCTTTAAATTTTCAGTTTGGTTTCGGTTTTTTATTTTCTTTATTTCCACAATTGTTCAATTTTTCAATGTGAGATTTTTCAATTTTTGGATTTTTCAATTTTTGGTTTTTCAGTTTTTGGATTTTCCAATTTTTCGATTAGCAATTTTTTCTTTTTCAATTTTTTGATTTTTAATTTTTCGTTTTTCATTCCTTCAAATTTTCGATTTGCAGTTTCTCATTTCAGTATTTTATTTTCTTTATTTCTATAATTTTTCCATTTTTCAATAATCTCATGTTATAATTTTCCTTTTTTCTATGTGAAATTTTTCAAATTTTTGAATTTTTCTATCTTCGGCATTTTCAATTTTTGGATTTTCCAATTTTTCGTTTTTTCAATTATAAATTTTTCAGTTTCTTGATTTTTTAATTTTTTGTTTCTTCAGTTTTTGACTTGCAATTTTAGTATTTTTCATTTTAAACAATAAAGAATAATTATATCCAATTTAAAAAAAAATCAATTTTTTGATTTTCAGTTTTTAATTTTTCGATTGTTCAATATTTAATTTCTTTAAATTTTCAGTTTGCAATTTCTGGTTTCGGTTTTATATTTTCTTTATTTCCACAATTGATCAATTTTTCAATTTTTGGATTTTTCAATTTTTGCTTTTTTCAGTTTTTGGATTTTTCAATTTTTGCTTTTTTCAGTTTTTGGATTTTCCAATTTTTCGATTAGCAATTTTTTCTTTTTCAATTTTTTGATTTTTAATTTTTCGTTTTTCAATTCTTCAAATTTTCGATTTGGAGTTTCTCGCTTCGGTTTTTTATTTTCTTCATTTTTAAAAATACTTTAAATTTTTCTTTTTTTCAATGTGAAATTTTTCTATTTTCGGATATTCCAGTCTTTGGCTTTTTCAGTTTTTGGATTTTCAATTTTTCGATTAGCAATTTTTCCATTTTCAATTTTTCAATTTTTCCTTTCTTCAATTTTTCGATTTACAAATTTGGTTCTTCATTTTTCATTTTTTTTAGTGTGAAATTTTTCAGTTTCAGATTTTTTAATATTACTTTTTTTAATTTTATATTTTTCAATTTCTCTATTTTTTAATTTTTCCAATCTTCAATTCTTGATTTGCAATTTTTCTAGTTTTCATTTTAAATATGTATCTAATAATTTTTATTATAAAGTTTAAAATTTTTCACTTTTTCAAATTTACGATTTTAGTAAAATTTTTCCATTTTTCAATTATTGGATTTTAAATTTTAGTTATTTAATTTTTCCATCTTTCAATGTTACAGATTTTCAACTTTATGATTCTAAAATTTTTCGATTTTAAATTTTGGAAAAAAAAAACTAAATTAAAATTGGAAAATCCATTACATCATTGAAAAATTAAAGGTTGAAAATTTGAAAAATTTAATAAACGAAAAATATAAAATCGAGAAAATAAAAACGGGAAAATAAAAAATAAAAATCAAGAACTTGAAAAATTGAGCAAATGAAAAATTGAAAAATCAAGAAACTGTAAATTCGGAAAATAAAAAATTGTAGTACCGAAAAATAAAAAAAATGAAAGTTGGAAAAACGAAAAATTATTAAACCGAAACATTGGAAAATGGAAAGATTGCTTCATTCATTAATTTTGTTAATCACCCTGAATGTCTAGGGTGAAAACTCAAAACGGATTCATGCATCACAAGTACAGGAGTGCTGTAAATTTCGGAGATTAAAAAAATGAAATAAAATTAGTTGGTTCTTTAACCCTCTCTAGATAATTAAATTCTCGTCAAGCTTAATTTCGGTCGTTAAAACCTACTTACCATCGATGTCGATGGCTTCGCACTTCCACACCTGACCGAACGCCCCCTCCCCCAAAATATTGAAAAACTTGAGCCGATGACGAGGAAACTCCCACCTGTCCACGTCCTTAATCGGAGCCGAAATCTGATGACTCGCCTGAAATAAATTCGACGATCTTTATAGCTTTTATCAATCGATCTCTCCCAACCCGCCCGAAAACGAACATCGTTATTTCGCCAACATTTCACCGAAATGCAAATCAAGTCGTAACTCCGCCACCAAACAAGCGCTAACGAAATTACCTTTTCACTTTAATTTCAGATAATCCCGCATAATCACTATTAATTCCCAAATTTACATAAAAAAGACCGTATAATAAATACCCACCTGTGAACGATTAACCTCTCTTTCCCACAGCTCGTAGCGATTGTTGAAGGCAATGGGTCCTCTCCATTGTTGCATTCCAATAGCAGGCTCCTCATGCAGAACGATTCCTCCAGACGAAGGTTTTCTCTGTAAATTCACACATGTTTAATGCATAATTCACAAAGCCAAACACTCACGATATCGTCTTTGGAGCCTTTGGGTTTCCCCAAGTGAATCTTCTTTCTGAACACCACGGCGATGACGCCCACCATCAAAAACACCGCACAAACGGAGATAATCGGCACCACCGTGACCGCGATATCGGGCGGAGATTTAACCGCTTGATCGAACTTGTTTTCGTCGTAGTTTTGTGTCGAGGGAACGTCCGTCGCGTTTTTCACGGTTGTCGTCTCTTGTTCCCTCGTTTCGTCTTCGTTTATGTCGTTCTTCACCTCCTTGGGCTCGAGTTTGACGGGCCGCAGATACGTGGACGTGCTGGGTTTGGGGTGGAAGAGGGGCTCCGGGGGCGGGTAGTTCCTGATCTGGGGCGGCGGGTTGTTGGGGACGAGCGGCGGTCTTTGCTCGTACTCCGGGCGCGGGGGGAAGCCGGGGATTTTGAAGCGATTTTTGTTGTTTTCGGGGGGAGAGTCCGCGGTGGAGGCTTTGAGGATGTAGGCGGCCACTTCGAACTTTGTGGGGAGGTCGCCTTCTGATACTGTCACGTAAAGGCGGAGGTGTTCGCCTCCCTAAAAAACGTAATAGGCAAAACGTGAAAAAAAGTAGAAGTGTCAAAGTATGTTTATTTACCCGTCCTTGGACAGATTCGTTCAGATAAATCGCTCCTGTCCTGGAATCTATTCGAAATGGTAGCTTCTTAGGCGGTTTTTCGTCCCCCTCAGACATTAGAGGCTCGATGCCGTATGTTAGGGTCCTTCCAGGATTTCCCGTGGCGTGGGCTTGGTTGACTTTTGTTCCCACAGGGTCGGATTCGAAAATTTGCCATCTTTGTTCTGTTCGTACGATAGGTGGAGGATAAACTTGACCGTTTACTGAAATAATAAAATGGTCACTAGTTTGCTACAAGTATTTTAAAAGTAAATATAGTTATTATTATTATTGTTTTGTCAGCTATCCGTTCTGTATGACCTACTCCGAAAAAGAGATTTATGTTGTCATTTACGTATTTTTTATTTCTTTAATTTTTTTATTTTTAAAAATTTCAGTTTTTTAATTTTCCAAATTTTCGATGTTTTAATTTTTAGATTTTGCATTTTTTTGATTTGCAGTTCCATGAGATTTCAAATTTTTTCGAGTTTTATATTTTTTAATTTCGCATTTCTTCAATTTTTTGCTTCTGGTTTTATTTTAAATATGTAATAATAATAATTTTTAATAGTTCTAACTTTTTCAATTGTGTGATTTTAGAATTTTTCCATTTTTCGATTATCACAATTCTTTTTTTTTATCTATTCGACTTTTCGATTCATCAATTTTCCATTCCTCAAAGTTTTCGATTTGGAATTTTTCGTTTCGGTTTTTTATTTTTATTATTTATTATTTTATAATTCTTTGTTTTATTAATTTTACAATATGTAACTCTTCGATTTTTCATTTTTAAATTTTTAGATTTTTCGATTTTCCAACTTTTGGATGTTTCAATTTTTAGATTTTGCAAATTTTTGATTTGCAATTTCACGCGTTTTCAATTTTTCATTTCCACAAATTTTCGATTTTTCAATTTTTCATTTCCTCAATTTTTCGATTTGCAGTTCTTTGTTTCGATTTTATATTTTCTTTATTTCAATTTTTCGTATTTTCAGTTTTCTTTTTTTCAATGTGAGATTTCTCAATTTTTGAATTTATTAATTTTCCATTCTTTCAATTTTAGATTTTTCAGTTTTTCAGTTTTTCAAAATTCTAATTTTTCAGTTTTTTGTTTTTTCAATTTTACAATATGCAACACTTCGATTTTCATTTTTAAAAATTTCAATTTTTTAATTTTTGAAATTTTACATTTTCTAATTTTTCCACTACTGCAGTAAAAATTTTTCATTTAATCAATTTTTCAATTTTGGAATTTCAAATTTTCAATTTTTCGATTCTATAATTTATAATTCGTCAAAGTTCTCGGTTTGCAATTACTCGTTTCGGTTTTCAATTTTTCATGCTTTTTGTTTCTTCAATTATTGTATATGCAACTCTTCGATTTTTCATTCTAAAAATTTTTGAGTTTTTCGATTTTCCGACTTTTGCAATTTTTTATTTGCAATTTCACGAGTTTTCAATTTTTTATTTTCACAATTTTCGATTTTTCAATTTTTCGGTTTGCATTTTTCGTTTCGGTTTTTTATTGTCTTTTTTTTAATTTTTCGTATTTTCAATGTTCTGATTTTATCATCTTTCTCTTTTCCAATGTGAAATTGTTCAATGTTTGCGTTTATTAATTTTTCGTTTTTTCTATTTTAGATTTTTCAGTTTCTTGATTTTTTAGTTTTTTAATCTTCCAAATTTCGAATTTTTCAATTTTTCGATTTTCCAGCTCTTGGATGTTTTAATTTTTAGATTTTGCAATTTTTCGATTTCCAGTTTCACTAGATTTCATGTTTTCAGTTTTTCGATTTGCAATTTTTCCTTCCGATTTTTATTTTCTTTATTTTTCACATTTTCGATTTTTCAAATTTTATATTTATTAATTTTTCATTTCTTCAATTTCCCGTTTCTAGTTTTAATTTTAAATAATTATGTAATAATAATTTTTAAAATTTCCACTTTTTCAATTTCATTACTTTACAATTTGTCCATTTTTCAAATATTGCAAATAATCTTTTTTTCAATTTTTCGAATTTTAATTATACAACTTTTCGATTCTTCAATTTTCCATTCCTCAAAGTTTTCGATATGCAACTCTTCGATTTTTCATTTTCAAAATTTTTCAGGCTTTTTCTGGATGTTCCGATTTTTACATTTTGCAATTTTTGGATTTGCATTTTCACGAATTTTCAATTTTTTATTTCTTCAATTTTTCGGTTTGAATTTTTCGTTTCTGTTTTTTATTGTTTATTTTTTAAATTTTTCGGATTTTCAATGTTTGTTTTTATAATGTTTCGTTTTTCAATGTGAAATTTTTCATTTTTTGGATTTTTAATTTTTCATTTTTTCAATTTTAGACTTTTCGTTTCACAATTTTTCACTCCTAGATTTTTTAATTTTTTGTTTCTTCAAGTTTTCATTTTTAGTTTTAATTTTAAATATGTAATAATAATTTTTAAAATTTCTTCCCTTTTCACATTTATGACTTTAGAACTTTTCCACTTTTCAATTATTGCAGTTATTTTTTCCATTTATTCGTGTTCAATTTTTGAAATTTTCAATTTTCAGTTTTTCGATTCTTCAATTTATCATTCGTCAAAATTTTCCAGTTGCAATTTCTTATTTCAGTTTTTCATTTTTTTATTTATTATTTTATAATTTTTTGTTTTCCCAATTTCATTTTTTTTAATTTTTTATGATTTTTGTTTCTGCAGTTTTCGATATGCAACTCGTAGAATTTGCAATTTTTGGATTTTTCATTTTCACAATTTTTTGCTTTTTCAATTTTTCAATTTTTCGATCTCTACAGTTTTTCGATTTTCAATTTTGACGATTTTGATTTCGATTTTAGAATTTTTGGTTTTTGGTTTTTCAGTTTGTCGATTTTTCTTTTCGATTCGTATTTTCCTTTTTCCAACTTTTCGATTATTTAATTTTTTTGGATTATTGAGTTTTTCGACATTTGGTTTTTCAGTGTTTCATTTTTTTAGTTCTTCAATTTGCAATTTTTGGATTTTGCACTTTTTCGTTTCTTCAGATTTTCGATTTTTCAGTTTTTCGTGTCTTCAATTTTTTGTTTCTAGTTTTAATTTTAGATATGTACGAATACGTAATAATAGTACTTTTGAAACATTCTCGCATTTTCAATTTCATGATTTTAGAATTTTTCAATTATAGTTTTTCGAATTTTCATTTTTCAATTTTTCGGATTGCAGTTTCTCGTTCTGGGTTTTCATTTTCTTATTTATTATTTTATAATTTATTTATTTTTTTCAATTTTTCATGCTTTTGTGTATTCAATTTTACAATGTGCAACTCTACGATTTTTCGCTTTAAAATCTTTTAGTTTTTCGATTTTCCGACTTTAGGATGTTTCAATCCTTAGATTTTTCAATTTTTGGATTTGCAATTTCACGGGTTTTCGATTTTTCGTTTCCAAAATTTTTGATTTTTTCAATTTTTCATTTGCTCAATTTTTCGATTTGCTTTTTCGTTTCGTTTTTTTATTGTCTTTATTTTTCAATTTTTAGGATTTTCAGTGTTATGATTAATTATTTTTCTTCTTTACAATATGTAATTTTTCAATTTTTGATTTATTATTTTATAATTCTTTGTTTCTTTAATTTTATAATATGCAACTCTTGGATTTTTTCTTTTTAAATTTTCAGTTTGGTTTTGGTTTTTTATTTTCTTTATTTCCACAATTGTTCAATTTTTCAATGTGAAATTTTTCAATTTTGGATTTTTCAATTTTTGGTTTTTTCAGTTTTTGGATTTTCCAATTTTTCGATTAACAATTTTTTTTTCAATTTTTTGATTTTTAATTTGTCGTTTTTCAATTCTTCAAATTTTCGATTTGGAATTTCTCGTTTCGGTTTTGTATTTTCTTCATTTTTAAAATTTTTAAATTTTTCTTTTTTTCAATGTGAAATTTTTCTATTTTCGGATATTCCAGTCTTTGGCTTTTTCAATTTTTGGTTTTTCAAGTTTTCGATTGGCCAATTTTCCATTTTCAATTTTTCAATTTTTCCTTTCTTCAATTTTTCGATTTACAAATTTGGTTCTTTATTTTTCATTTTTTTCAGTGTGAAATGTTTCAATTTTTAGAGTTTTCAATTTTTCGATTTGCACTTTATTCGTTTTCAATTTTTCAATTTCTGGTTTTTTAATTATTCTTTTTTTCTAATTTTCTATTTTTCAGTTTCTCTATTTTCTAATTTTTCCAATCTTCAGTTCTTGATTTGCAATTTTTCTAGTTTTCACTTTAAATATCATGTATCTAATAATAATTATAGCTTTTAAAATTTTTCACTTTTTCAAATTTACTATTTTAGTAGAATTTTTCCATTTTTCAACTGTTGAATTATAAATTTTAGTTATTTAATGTTTCCATCTTTCAATGTTACAGTTTTTCAATTTTATGATTCCAAAATTTTTTGATTTTACGATTTTTGGTTTTCTAATTTTTCAGTTTTTTCCGATTGTTTAGTTTTTCCATTTTGAATTTTTCGATTTTTCAACTTTTCGAACAAAAAAAATAATGGAAAAATTGAAAAATTGTAAAACTGAAAAATCAAAAATGTAAAAACGAAAACTTGAAAAAACATACACATACTGGTTTTATTTTAAATATGTAATAATAATAATTTTTAAAAGTTCTAACTTTTTCAATTGTGTGATTTTAGAATTTTTCCATTTTTCGATTATTACAATTAATTTTTTTTTCATTTATTCGACTTTTCAATTTTTCGAATTTTAATTTTTCAACTTTTTGATTCTTCAATTTTCCATTCCTAAATGTTTTCGATTTGCAATTTCTCGTTTCAGTTTTTCGTTTTTTGATTTATTATTAATTCTTTGTTTCTTTATTTTTACAATATGCAACTCTTCGATTTTTCATTTTTAAAAATTTCAATTTTTCGATTTTTGGAATTTCAAATTTTCAATTTTTCGATCCTCAAAGTTTTCGATTTGCAATTACTCGTTTCGGTTTTAAATTTTTCATGCTTTTTGTTTCTTCAATTATTTTATTACATGCAACTTCTCAATTTTTCTTTTTAAAAATTTTTCAGTTTTTTGATTTTCCGACTTTTGGATGTTTTAACTTTTAGATTTTGCAATTTCTTATTTACAATTTCACAAGTTTTCAATGTTTTATTTCCACAATTTTCGATTTTTCAATTTTTCATTTCCTCAGTTTTTCGGTTTTTTATGTCTTTTTAATTTTTTGTATTCTCAA